AAAAAAAAAAAAAAAAAAAAAAAAAAAAAAAAAAAAAAAAAAAAAAAAAAAAAAAAAAAAAAATTCTCCACTGTCCCCATAAGCTCACTGGCCGACAATTGCCTTGCCGACCATCGAATTTGTCGGTTAGCAGATCTGTAATAAATTAGGCGAATTGACCTATCTGTCCTTCACAACAATTTTCCATTTTAATTCAATAAAATCTCGCTCAAACTCTATTTGATTATTATTGATATCATGAAGGATCATTCCATTTTTATCTAAATATTAAATGTTTTAGATTCCACCAATATATTATTAAACTAAAAAAAAAAATATGAATATCAAATGGCAACTCATATTTTTCTTTCAAAAAAAAAAAATTCTATTATCCTTTATTTTAAAATTTAAACCAAAAAGTTTCTCTAATTATACTTATGTATAAAAATTTGATAAATTAAATAGTGGAATGAAATTGTTTAAATAGTGCTGATTAATTTTTAAAAATGATATTAATATTTGAAACAAAATTGAAGAGGGGTATTATGGTAAAGTTGGTGAGTCAGTGGATTTATATCGGCAACAGGCGTCTCCATGCAGACTAGTGTGGGGAATAACAGAACAGCCGCCAGATTTTTATGTGATTAAAATATTATGGGCTTCCAAATAGCCACGTGGTCATGTCTTTTAACCCGTGATTTCAACCGGCCAAGCCGTTTTCCCCTCCCGTAACTCCCGGTTTGTTATCCAGAACTTTTATTTTTACCTTGCGTCCATTTTTTTACTGCGGTAAAAAATTGCTTCATATTCGCCACGTCAGCACCCAAGTTCAATATTGCGGTCAACGATTTGCTTTGACCGTTTCCACATCAGAAATCTGATTTTTTTTTTCTTTTCCAGTTCAGAATCACTTGATTATCTATAATATTGTATTATTTATAAATAAATAAATAAATAAATACAATTCGGCACACCATTTTTTTTAATTTTTTTTTAGAGTTCGAATTCGGCAAACCAACTTTACATTAAATAAAAAGAAAAGGACATGGTTGATGATGCTTGGAAACCTTTTTTCCATTATTTATTTATTTATTTATTAACGACGGTTCGGTGTTTAAGAACACGATCCAACCGCAAATAAAACCGGGGCCCACAAATAGAAAACCGGATGGGTTTTTTAAATTTAAACAAAATACCAATGTTTTGGGGGCACAAAACCCCAAACAGATGGGTCACGTCATCGAATCAAAAGTCATGTTTTGTGTAAATGACAAGTAATTAAACGCCAAAAACATCTAATTAAACTTGATTAGCCGATTAATTTATTTGGAAATTTCATAATGATGTCGTGTTCATGATTACGTGGCCTCCCCCAATGGCCTTTTTAATATTATTTAAAATTATTGGGTCCCTATCATGGTCGATTTAGTTTTCAATTAATATTCTCAATAATTAGCCTGCAGCTTTGAATGAATGTTTGGCTGTCCATTTAATCTCAATACTGTTCATTGAAAAATATATTGCTAATTGTCACTAATTCAATAAATAAGGGTATACTTTTTTACTACTTCATTCAAAGAAATACAAAAAATATATTTTTTTAATAATCATGTGAAACCAATTGGAATTTTTAAATAAATAAAAATTACTTATTCATTTTTTAAATCTCGCATTTTTTGGTAAATTTCAAATCGAGAAAGAATAGATAGATATTTTTCTACGTATTTATTACTTACTTGACTAACGAATCTTATCAAAATTGATTTCAGTCTACGAATGTCATTGTTAATATAAAAAGTCGTTAGCGATAAATAATATTATTTTTTGCAATTACCTCATATTTATTTTATTGGAGGTTATATCTCGTGCTCGACTTTTAGGGCAACCCCGTCTATTGCAATACAAATACCAATGACTTTCGTGGTAGTTTACAATCGGATGATGCAAGATAAATTAGGGTCAACCAACCTTTACTACTATTATTAATATAATTATTTATTCATTAGGTTAATTTTTCAAATTTGAATTAAAGGTTAATAATAAAGTCAGAGAGTTTATTATTATTTTAATATTCAAAACAAAAGACAAAGCTTAAATCATATTTGGAGTACTCTCACAATGACTTGTCATGATGATGTGTCTTCCAGCCGAACTAATTTAATAAATCACATTATTAAAACTAACTAACACGTGTTATTATTACATTGGTTAGGACATTTTTGTGCTTCAGACAACCTAATAACGCAACATCTTAGGCTGTTCATGTTTAATTTGATTTAAACTTCGGTAGTTTTGTCTGTTTGGAAAAAGTTTTATTTTTCTTTATAAAGATTTGTATAAAGCTATGGTTCATTGAATTTATTGGAAAATTAATAATAATAATAATAATAATATTATTATAATCATAACAAATATTATTATTCAACTGCCCAGTCCATTCGAATTCATCGCTAATGTCTAAACATACTAAAATTACAAAAATATCCCTTAGTTTTTGTTTTTAAAAATGATAATTAGTTTTTTTTTTATATATATATATCTCAATTAATAATATATAGAAATTCTTTTTCAATATATATATAGAGAGAGAGAGAGAGAGGGTTAATGGCGGTGGAAGGGCAAAAAGGGGAAAGTGCGAAACGAGTAAATTTAATTCGCGGCTTGGAGCACGATTTATTAATGAGCTAAAAGTACGGCACCGAGAGGGCATTGCATATTTCAGTTATAAAGTTTTTAAAAAAATATATATATATATATATATATTTTTTGTATTATAATTTTAAAATTGGGTCAAGATTGGGCCACAATCGCCAAGGCCCATTACCATCATTACAGTTAACTGACCAAATAAAAATATGGGCCAAGCCCAAGCCCATTAAGCCCGTTGGTTTCCTGGAGGACAAGAAACTTGTGTTCGACCTTCCTGTAAACATCCTTATTCTTGCGGCATTTTTTGCCTCCATTTCGATCATTTCCTTGGACGTTGTATACTTTGTTTGTTTTTTTAGTTCGTGTTTCTGTTCTCCCGTTGCTCAAGATTCTAGCTAAAGGTAAAGTTGAAGTAGTAAGAGCTCGCTCTTTTTTAGTTCTTTCGAGTTCATATGCGGATTTATGATACATTTCTGATTGGAATCGATTTCGGTCATTAGGATTTTGTTATCGATCTGTTCTTGGTTGAAAATTGCTTGCATTCCGAGGATTTTATGGATCTTTTTTGGTTTCTCATAGAATTTGAGGACGGGGTACTGAGATTTTGATCGCACGATTCTATTTTTGATGGCTAAGGAGTTTGAAGTGTCTTTTGATGTCAAATCGGTTAGGACGATTATTTGTTTATTGGATGCGAGTGTTTTGACTATTTTTCCGGGCAGGATGTTCCAAATTTAGTTTTCGTTAATTCTGTGAAATAGAACTAGCTCGGTTATCGGCGTAGTTGAGGGCGTTTCTCTGGACTTTTTTTTTCCCCAACTAAAATCTTGTTGTGTGGATAATTTCTTTGTAAGGCGAACACTGTACTAAATCTTAATTTTTGGTCATGACAGGAGTTGAAAC